TGTCACTTAATATGTTAGCATTTATTATAATAGTATTCATTTTTAAATTTTAAGTTCCCAAGCCAAGAGTTACAATCTTGCACCGCTGATCTTAAATCTGTCCTGAAAAACTGAAAAAATGTCCCCATAAGGTCAAAATTTACTGGTATTACTTTCCTTGTAGAGAAGTTTGGTCCCCATAACGTTGGGAATACCAGGTACACACACACACACACACACACACAAACTCAGCAGTTCTTGATGAGCGACGGCCAATGAACTGTGTATTTTTTATTCTCTTGGTCAATAAGATATCTCTGCCCTTTTATTGATTTTTTTTCTCTCTTTTTCGCGAAATAACATGCTTTCTTGTACTATGGTACATCTATTAAAAGACTCGATCATGATAGAAAATGCTGACGGAGAAAAGTGTTCAAAGTGCTCAAGTGCAGCATGCAAAGTGTTGAAAGCGTCTAGACTCAAAAGAGGGGAAGTGAGGCTCTGTGCAAATGAGGACATAATGTTTATGCGAGATCACACCAAGAGGCAGTGATCTGCAGTTACCTCTGCTGAGGGGGTGGGGGGTTTGGGGGCTTAAAGTGGTTCTTTTGTTAGTTATCTGCAGTCTTTGCTGCACCTTTTAGACCAAAGCCATTCAGACAATCCTGCTAACCGCTTGCAGCTTTCCTTGTCATGCATGCATGCATAATTTGCCACTTGTTTTTCTTTGTTTCACATATTCGATGGACCATAGTCTTTCATTTAATGTGAGAATAGAAGGACTCATTCTAGTGTCTATAGTCGGCGACATGCTGTGCCATCTCAGGTTCATTGTTTGACCTTTGAGACAAAAGATGTGTTTCAGGGCTAGTAATTCTTCGTTTGTGAAAGATTGCCTAAAACTGCAATGTGATTTTGCTTGCTTTATGACATGAAATGTTAGCCCTTCAGAAACGTACATTGTACAAACCTGATTTTATTTTATTTATTTATTAAACAAATATTATGTGTTTCTAATATACAGGAAAAGGCCTGGGCTGGGCTTCTAAAGCTTTTGCATATTATTATTTTTTTTTTTTCTGCCAGACCAGCTGCGTGATTAAAAGCTAAAATCTTCAGATCGAGACACAGTTTGCTACTGAAAAGGAATGTTGTGGTATTTCTCTTTCACCACAAGCTAACTAGCAAATCCATCCATCTATAGTGAAGAAAGGGACTCTTTTTCCTTGGAAAACAGGGAGTAACCAGGATTACGACAGATCTTTTCAGGAGTGATGCTCAATAACCTGGTTATGCAATCTTTTCTTTCTTAGTATTATCTTTTTTAAGTATTTTATTAGCTATAGCTATAACAGCAATAACAAAAGTAGGTTACAAAGACTGAAACTATGATGATATAAATAATAATAAAAAATGTAAAAGAGAGAGAATGAAAGGAAAGGTGGAATCTGGTTTGTTGCATTGTTTGCAGTCTCAATGCATTTGTTGTTGTGGTGTGTTGCTTATCCAGATGTGAGTACAAGATAGCAGAGATTAAAAAGGAAAAACAAAGACAGTGAACATAACCAGGGGCACAGCATGTTCCTTTATGCTGCAGTCCCGCAGGCAAATAAATGGAATTTGGCAACAGATCTCAACATGTCTTTCTTGAGATTCAAAGCAGCAGGAGAGAGAGAGAGAGAGAGAGAGAGAGAGAGAGAGAGAGAGAGAGAGAGAGAGAGAGAGAGAGAGAGAGAGAGAGAGAGAGAGAGAGAGAGAGAGAGAGAGAGAGAGAGAGAGAGAGAGAGAGAGAGGGAGAGGGAGAGGGAGAGGGAGAGGGAGAGAGAAACAGGGTAGCGGTTTGAGAACAGACCCTTTGATCATGATGAGACAATCAAAGCTGAGAAACATGGATCTGAGAGTAAAAAGTTCTGTGCATCAAGAGTTTGAGGAGAGAGTTTCCTAGAAAAGACAGAATGAATGAGTAGGTTACAAAGACTGAAAAGGTGGATCTTTCTCAAAAGGTGACAGGAAGTGTTTATAATGTGTTTTTTTTCTTTTCATAAAGGATAATGTAAAACAAAGGTTCCTGTCAATGCAAGTCGTTGTGGAAAGTAAAATGTGCATGTAAGTTGTTTTGGCCAGTGGATCGTTTGTTTTGTTGTGTTTTTCTTGTAAATGAACAACAGCGAAAATTCTTCTGATTAGGTCTGCCGAATTCCATATATTCTATAGTCTCAAACATTCCCTTTGGATGCAAAATCAGAGTTTACCTTTGTCTTTAGAGTGTTATGAGTTGTGTTCACTATTTAACCCATGTCTACACACTCACACAAAATATGAAAAAATGTGGTTTTATTTGCACCTAATTGATAATAATTCTGCAAAGACCTAATGTATTTAAAAATCCAACATTAACAGACCTTTCCTTGAACTCCAGAACTGAGGAATGGTTTAAATCTCCGGTTACTGGAGAAGGAAAGGTGTGACCAGAAGATTGATCTTGCCCAAACAAGTCCTATTGAAAAAGCAGGAGGCGGCAGAGAGATCCGTGACAGTGAGCTGAAGTTAGAAATGAAAGAATAAGGGGGTGAATAGAATCCATAGTTTACAGCGTTATTGCGAACACCAATAAAAAGGGGAGCAGTCAAGTCTAAACATACAAACACTGAAATGTGAGACCATGCTAACTGCTTTTTGCAAGGGCATGTATGTGTTGTTCTCTGACTTTTATTACAGGCCTATTAATAGTTGTGTGTGATGTTTGTTTGCATGTTTTAACCAGACTTCTTAGCCTGTTATTAAGAGGATAATTCAGATTATGGGCCAAAAATATACAGCAAAACAACCTGAATACTTCAGGCACCAGCATCATCTGGTTGTTGTTGGTTTAGTTTTTTTTGTAAGATGCACTACCGTTCAAAAGTCTGGGGTACCGTTCAAAAGATAATTGCGACTTTTTATCTAATAATTGCAAGTTTACATCTCACAATTCTGACTTTTTTTTGAGAAAAAAAGTCAGAATTGCAAATTATAAAGTCAGAATTGTGAGTCACCATTGCCTTTTTTTTTTTTTTTTTTGTGGCGGAAACAAGCTTCCATGATTATGTTCACCAAGGCTGCCGTAAAACTGCAATATTGTGAAATATTATTACAATGTGAAATTAATGTATTCTATTTTAATATTTAATTTTTTTTTTTTTTTAGCTATACCTGTGATGGAATTTTCAGCATCATTAATCCAGTCTTCAGTGTCACATGATCTTTCAGAAATCATTCTAATATGCTGATTTGGTGCTCAAGAAACATTTCTTATTATTATCAATGTTAAAAACGATTGTGTTGCTTAATATTTTTTGTGGAAAAAGTGATATATTTTTCACGATTCTTTGATGAACATAAAGAACAGCATTTATTTGAAATAGACATTTTTGTAAAATTATAAATGTCTTTACTGTCTCAATTTAATGCATCCTTGCTGAATAAAAGTTTAAATTTCTTTAAAAGTGTTTTTTTATTTCATTCTCTAATGTTGGGGATGTGTGTGGGATTGTTACAGTGGCGGCTGCTGGTCTTTCAAAGAGGGGAAGCTCTTTTTCTTTTCACTCGACTGTCAGGTGTGGGGATGGTGAAAAGAGTGAGGACTCAAGTGCAGAGTTGATGGGCTTTATTTTAATAATAATAATAATAAATAAATAAAAAAAATAATACAAATAAAAACTACAAACCACCACAGGACTGCAAACACAAGGAGAATAAATAGGGAGCAAACAAGGCAGGTAACGAGGGAGGACAGGTGGGGCAAATTAACTAATAATCAGGAAACAAGATGGGAGTTGACACAATCGACATGAGACCACATGCACAAGGAAAACACATGACAAGCCATGTGCTCACACCAAACATGACAAAAAACACAAGCACATGGCCAGTAAAACAAATTACAAGCAATGTGCTCACACAAAATGAGACATGACGAACAATGAGAAGAGAACACTCATAAGCCACGTGTTCACACAGAACATGACAACATGAAAGCACACAGCTAGTGTAAAACACAAGCTGTGCTACACAGCACAAACATGACATGAAAGCACGTGACCGATGTAAACACAACACACTTGCACAGAGCGAACACAAACCCGCACACTCACACGACATGACAGAACGTTATGCACGAGAACGAGCGTAAGCTCATCCTGTGCGCTCACAACAGAAAACAAACAAACACGAGGAGCATGAATGTCCGAATCCCGACACAAAACCGAAACCAAACTAGACAGATGTGCCGTGATTCAAACACCACGCCCGCACATGTAACAAGGCACCTGACATCGACGGAGGAAATGTGGGAATTAGGTTAAACTGTGAAATGTGAAATGTAAAATGTATTGCAAATACCAAGAAATATGTTACCGCAGTTTGTCTTTCGAGTACACTTGTAAAATCCGCGATGGGACTGAGCTCGAAATCTCGAATAGCTTCCGCGTCAGCGACATTTTATTGGACGAAATCGCTGTCAATCAAAAGGAGATGCAATCCTCCAATCATCACGCAGACGCCCGGACTCCAGGCCAGCCCACTTCTCTATTCACCCCAGAGACGCTGAGCGTCCGGGGGCGGGACATAATCGCAGCATTTATCCAATGACCGTCTAGTTTCGAAGCACTGAAAAAAACTGTTCAAAGCAGCCCCATTGAAGTCAATGGACGCTCGGCTTCAACGGGGAAATGCCATAGGGAAATGCACTGTGACGCTACGTGAATGTATGAGAAGGAAATCGAGTCCGCCGACCTGCTATATCGAGCTGATTCTGAACGAACTCGTCTTCGAGATGAACGTGTTCTAACGCATTATTAGTCAATAAAATGTTAACACAATAGTACACATTTGACCATTAATCTTTTGACATTATAGGGGAAGCTGAGCTTCCCTTGCAGTCTTAAAGAAATCGCCACTGGATTGTTATAATGAGTTTGGTGGGAACAGGGAACAGAAATATACTTTGCAATACACTTGACAAGAATAAAATGAGAAACTAGTTGTGTAGTAGGACTCACATTTATTGCAAACAAATTCAAACACAGTAGTGCACAAACATGTACAGTAAAGGAGCATGTATATGTGGATTTGAGGCTAACAAAATAATGCTATCTTTGCATATATTCTGATTTAGTTCAGCAGATGAAGGCACTTTTGAATTTTATTCTGAATGGTACCAGGTTGGCCCCACTTACTAGAAAAAAAATCTATTAGATAACTTCCATGACAAGTTGATTGATCTTAAAATGACTACTGTAAAGACATTATGGAGAGTATATCCTCAGACAGTGGGTTAATACTGAGAAAGTAAACATGGTGAGTACATGGTATTCTTTTGTCCAATAATGGACAGTGCCAGTCCAGTCAAGTCCGGTTCTTAACCAGTTATCAACCTCTCACAGAATGAAAAAAGCACATTTCAGTAACACAAAACCTCCCTTCTTGTTTCTGTTTGGTGTTAACACTAGAAAAGCGTGGAGCTCTTAAGCTTGAGTGGGAAGAGCTGCTGAGGCCTCCTTGATCTTGTCCATGACAATCTGCAGCTGCTCACGGATCTTCTCGGAGTAGGGGGCGAGGAGGCTGGTCAGCTCATCCATGCGGCCTTCTAGGGAGGTACGCAGTTCCTCTGCGGTCTTTTCCAGCTTCTCCTTCAGAGCTCCAGCCTGGACCTCCAACTGCTCGCTCATCTCCTGCGCCTGGGACTTCATCAGCTCGTTAATGGCACCCAATTTCTGGTTGGCACCATCCTGGGCCTGGGTGAGGTATGGCTCTAAACGGTCCTTCACGGCATCAGCGTTTTGGGAAGCACGAGACTGCAGCTCACCCATGTAGGTTGCCACAGTGCTGTAGGGAATGAAAGTGAAGATTTAATATCTTTAAAAATTACCCATGTTTTCATTAGTTAAATGCTTTATCCACATTTTTTTTAGATTGCATTTTACCCAATGAAAGAACATCCAGACTTACGTGCGGATCTCCTCTGTGTCCTTGTTCAGGCGTTTCTTTAGTTTGCGTGTGTATGTGTTGACACGGGCTTTCACATCATCTGCGTTCTGCTCCACCATGGTCTTCAGCTCTTGCACGTACTGAGTGGAACGTTCCTTGGCATCGGTCATGTCAGTTTGCAGTTTGCCAGCCAGAAGCTGGAGGTCTTTGGTCAGCTGACCAGCAGCATCAGAGGCGTATGGAGTCAGTTGGGTTTGAAGATTTTCACTGTATGAGCCTAGCTCAGTCATGGTGTCAAGAATTAGGGTACTGGAAAACAAACAAACAAACAAACAAACAAACACAAAAAAAAAAACACTGGTCACAAACAATGCTTTAGCAGCACATATGCTATTTGATAATGTGAGGATGAGTATGATGGTGCTGTAGATAGATGTTAAAACGGCTGCTGAACTTACTCAAGCTCTCTGCTGAGTTGGGACTCCTTGATGTTCAGCACCACACCGTTAGCATGTGTGTTGAGTTCGGACACATACTGCCAAAAGCGGTCCACCATCTCCTCCCACCTGGGTTGAGGGGCATCAGCCTGGAACAGGCTACGAGCATGGCAGCCTACAAGGGGTGTGAAGAGATGGTTAACTTTATGCCATATTAAGTTTTTCACAAATGAGAGAGCTAGATAATTTACAGTTATTACAAAGCTTAGCAGATGACACTTATAAAGTATGTGATGTAGTAGTTGATAAGATGCACTATAAAACATTTAATTGTGCACTGATATTCAAAACAGATAGAAAAACTAAGCCATGAGTGGATGGAGATTTTTTTTCCATACCAGTAAAAACTGCCAGAGCAAAGATAACCACCAGAGACCTCATTTTGATGGACAGACAAGTAAGTTACACCTGAGGAAAGATCAACACACACACAAAAAAATCAATATCTTAAACCACTAGCACAAAAAAAAACTTTATCTTTAAAGAGAAACAAATCATACCGTCAACATAAAGTATAAACTTTGGAAACTGGAACTTTAAACTTATTAATTCTCATGTATTAAATTATTTAAATCCATACAGTATTCTTTAAAAGCTCCTTCTAAAAATGCACACAAAACAAAACCGCATATGAAGAGTATGCATGCAGGATTTGCTTTACTACTAATACGCGTTCAATAGCCTACTCAGTGACCGTTAACTGGAAGTTACGTAGGCTAAGCAATAGTTTTACTGACAAACTGGTTATTCTGACTGTATATAAACGGTTAGGTAAAAAGTTATTGATTAGCCTACTTCATTAGTGAAGAGCGAGCGTTACTCACCTGAGAAGTGTGATTTTCCTCCGTGTAGACGGAGAGGGGATGTTAGGTCTTTTATACAGTCCCGGGACGCACCCGCTGCCTTCACAATCGCTGCCACGTGATTTCGCCTTTGTTCGGCTCTCGCGCATCATCCCACGCGTCACTGACTGCAGCAAGTGTGCGAACCAGCATCTTTTCGAACCAGGTGGAGAAATATTGCGCAATTTATATAATTTCTTCTTGAAAATGTTAAGGGCACATTTCTTTTTATTTCATGTTCGGGAATTGCTCATGTAGCCTATGGTCTGGTTATTACAGCAACTTGCGTCCCTTATTTAGTGTAGCCAACTCTATTAAATAGACAGATATTTAAAAAGAATACTTTGGCAGTACATAGGCTACATTGAATGCAAAATCTTTATGATTGTCTTTAATAGTCTAAAATTTTATGTTTATTATTTTTATTTAATTATTTAGTGTCAGTAGGCCTATTGCTGCGTGGATAAAGTTGTTGTCCTCAAACGGAGTTTATAAAGTCAAACAACTGTAAATGTTCCATGTTGGACAGATTCCTCGTGATTAAAGAGACAATTGAGCCTAAAGGAAACTTTTTTTTGCAGGCGCCAACAATGATGCTCGTACGAAATCGACATGGATGAGCCTATTTGCATTTTTATAGAGACCTAATTGGCAATCGGCTATAGCCTACTATTGCTCACTTCACACAATCGGATTAGCATTCATATGAGCAACGTATACGGCAATGGTGGCTGTAACGACAACAGTAGCATACATTTTATATTAAGGAAAAACAAATGTTTCTTTATAACATCTGCCTTCCTTGTAATTTTAGTTACAATATATAGCCCTAAGCTAGTTATTTTATGATGTTATGGTGTAATTGCTTGCAAGTGATGCCATAAATTTCAAACTACTGCTGATTGCAGCCCGTTTGATCACAATGCCCTTCCACGTCTAAATGGCATAGTGTTGATCTTAAAAGATAAGACATTCCTTAGTATTCTCTGTAAAGAGTTAAGCCAATAAAGTACAGCCCTATGTTTGTTTCAGCGGTTCTATTCTGAACATAACACCACCCAACATGATCGTGTTTTTTTTTTTTTTTTTTTTTTTTTAAACTAATCTTTTTTTTTTCCGGGCCAAAAAGCCTTGGGTATTTTTTTTTTTTTCGTGACAACGGAAGAAAGCCTTATCACCCTCAATTTGATTCCACCTATTCAGTGATCTTTAGCCTCTTGTCCCAACTTGTCCTCTTCTTCTGGCTCATATCTGCAGCTGATGAAAACAAACATGGCTTTATACCAGAGGGCCCAGTAAGATCACTGCACGCAGACTTCCGCTATTATTTATACTCCTCTGCTACGTTCAATTCTGTTGATCCCTCCAGCGATTAGATTTTATTTTATTTTATTGAAATATTTATAAACCCTCACTTATAAAACTACTCTATTTTATTGTATGGTCAATTTTAATGTTCTTGGATGTTTATGCCTCCTATAAGGATGAGTCAGGTTGTCACACTTCATAAAGCATCGGACTATCGTTAATGAAAGATAGTTTGATCAATGACGTTCATTTGTGCCACATGACCACTGACACCGATGAAACGTCTGTTTATCACCAAAATGCTGATGCATTATATCAAAATAGATACTTCCCATTTTTTTTAAATAGAGAGGGCAACATATGAATACTGCAAACTATGACTGACAGTGTATATAAGAAATACATTTTAATTGACCACGAAAGAAAAAAAAAGGCAATATTAAGAAAGATTTATGACTGTTATGGTTGCTTCAGACCCTTCTTTCGCTTTTGTATTACCCTGTTAATGGATTAGTTTGATGAAAGCATTGCAAACAGAGCTCCCTCTGTAATTCTTTTTTTCTGTTTTTGATAATAGTTCTTTCATAAGGGGAAGATCAGTGCCAAGTGTTGGACAAAACATTTTCTGTGGGTTTACAATTAGGTAGGAGTGAACACATTTTTTTTTTTTTGGACTGAATTTTCCTCATGAAGTATTTGACATGTGGTTTCACCAGAGTGAGTATTTAATTATTTGGTGTTGCATCTAATGAAGAATGGAATTGGAGAAAATATGGCTGAAAAATTATGACTATCCTGTTTTCAAAACAAACAAAACTTTTTTAGAAAAAAATTAGCTTGATGATTTAATTATAAGCTCATGAAAGGACTTGGTTGTTTATGTCCCATGTGGTTTTCAGATAAATGTGTGAAAGGTGAATAGTAAGCAATGAACGCATGTAACCTCGGCCAACTCATCATTTAGCAGAATGGGGCTGCTACGTCCAGTCTACCGTGTGAGAGGGTCTATGCGCTGATAGCATCTATTCTTCATCACAGCCATGACTCAGATATACACTGACTGGATTTATCCAACACAAACAGCACAAGTAGGCCTAAAATGAGGGTGGATGAACTCTAGTGACTCTAATGTTTTTCTCTTTTCTTGCTTTCTGTGGTTTGTGGTTAAGTCCTCAGTTGTGTCATTGGGGAAGATTGTCTACATTCATTGTTTTCAACATTCAGGCATTCCAGGTCAAAGGCCTCTCAGCTGCTTTGTGTCAGAGGAATCAGTCATCTGTATTTTAATCTGTGTCTTAACCCCCTTGTCTCTGTGCAAAACGTCATTTGGTCACACTTTATATTAGATGTCTTTAGCTTTGTACTTACATAAATAAGTTGTTTGGTACAATGTACTGATTGTGTTCATGTTGTATTGCAAAACACTTTTGCTCCTATTAAGGTGGGATATGGTGAGGGACTGGTTGTGTGGTATAGTTAGGTGTGACCCTTGTAATAGAAGGGTCAACAGTGTAATTATAGATTTAATTACAGAAATTAATTACAGCTGTAATCACATGCAGGTATTTTTTTTTTTAATAATGTAAAAACATGTATCTGCACAATCAAATTATTAATTTAAATGTTATTACATTACACTTAATATAAAATGGGACATCAGTTTGTTTTCCCAATATCAGTGAAGAATGGGCTAAATTAGTTAATCTGTGTCTACAAATGACCCACAAAACTATATAAATAACAAGCAAATAGACTACTACATACCATTAGACTTTTAGTAGAGTTGTGATTAAATGTTAACTTAACTTAACTTTAACTTTAAACTTAAATGTAAAAGTGTACTAATAGTAATGCAAATGAAACAAGAGTTTTTGTTCACTGTATCAGGTTCCTTTTCTGTTTAAGGTCACTTCAGTTTACACATTTATCAGATGCTTTTAAAAGAGTCTGTTTATGCCTTCCTTGGCAATTAAATATATAACCTTGGTTTTGCACCATCTCTACTGCTGAAAAACAATGTTTAATCCAGCCTGATGCCAATGCTAGCTCTGGTTTAACAGGGCCCTCATCCTCTGTGCATACAGGCTGTAAGACCAGTTAGAGCAATAGTAACCAGCTTAGGCTGGTTACAGCTGTTTTTCCAGGAAGGTAGTGTCTTGATAATGATGATATGCTTGAACAAACTCTTGAATGTGAGGATTAGCTTCTTTGTGGGGGGTAGAAAATGAAGGTTTTTTTTTTTTTTTTTGATGGGAGTGTGTGGGAGACTCTTGGAAATGGCAGAACATGTACTTTTACAAACCTGCAAGGGCAGCTCCCGACATGTTGCCCCTGGCATTTATGTGGGATTTTTATGTGTTGATCATGATGTGGGTGTTTATAATTTTCTGGCAGCGCACATGTGTCTCAATGCATCCATTAAAAAGGAACTGGCAATCAGTCAATAACAAATGCGTTGCATGACCTGTAAATCTTAATCATTTTATGTTTGTGGTGATTTGAAATGATAGTGGGCATCCACTAGGTGGCATGTGTGGTTCACAAAACTAGTACATAGTACATGGCAGCACCATTGTCCACGTAATAACTTAGTGATTGGTGCAGCTCTTATTTTTATAAATAGGCCATTGTTCCAATGGCCTATATTTCCAGAGGTCCATTGTCAAATAGGCCTTTAAAAAAAAAAAAAAAAAAAAACTACACACATTTATTGTGGAATAAAGCTATTGTTTTCCACTTACTAGATTTGAAAGACTGTATTATCCAATCATGTCACTGTTAAGACAAATGATACTGTCCCATCCTTAGTAATTGTTTACAGCTATTAATGGCATTTAATTTTATAGTATATCATTTAATATCCTGACTTATAAATAACTACAAGTAGGCTAACTATACCGTTTAAAATTTTGATGCTAGTAAGATTTGTTTTTTAAAGAAATTAATATTTGATTCAGCAAGGTTGCATTAAATTGATCAAAAGGGACAGTAAATACATTGACAACTTTACAAAAAAATTCTATTTCAAATAAATGCTGCTGTTTTTAACGTTATATTCATAAAAAAAAAAAAAATAAAAAAAAAAAAAACCTGCATCTTAGTTTCCACAGATGTTAAGAAGCACAGCTGTTTTCAACATTGATAATAAGAAGAATTAGAGTAATGGCTGCTGAAAATTCAGCTTTGCCATGACAGGAATAAATTAAATTGTAAAATATATTAAAATAGAGAAGTTATTTTTAAAATGAAATAATATTTGACAATATTTACTGTATTTTTGATCAAATAAATGCATCTTTGGTGAGCATAAAAGGCTTCTTCAAAAAATGTAAAAAAAAATTTACCAACCCAAACATTTGAATGGTAGCATATATATCCAAACCTCAGCAGAACCTTAGAAGTTTGTTGCGCTCTTAAAGAGGTAATATTTAACTAATGAAATACTTCTGTATACTGATGTCATGAGTTTTGTTATTTTTGTGTGGAAGTTTAAGTAAAATAAATAGATATTTATGCATACGTTAGCTTTATAGGCAGAGTGAGATCAAAGGCTAAGTTAGAGACTGTTTGCCAGTTAGTTGAGCCATAAAATTCAACAACATGAAAACAACTCTGCTGTGTGTGTTCATGCAATTTAAAGCATGCTAAGAGTCTCAAAAACACCTAAAAATAATATTAAAGTATTCAAGATATCAAAAATAATTTCAAAGGCC